AGAATTCATATCTACGCAACAAAGTTCAAATTGTAAAAAGTCAAGCTTGAAAAATGTAAGTGTTTAGTCTTAGTAAGATGGTAGCTTCTTAAAGCAATACCATTGCTGAGTTTTATGTACGTGAAGAGAAGTACAATGAATTCAATTACGAGTACAATTGCAATGACAACTAAGGCAACTATTTTTGTCTTTTGCCAGCAAGGGTACTTCTTCTCTTCCAATGGTTCGGCAGAACTATACTCACTCATGAGAAATGCCAAAACGGTTTAATAGAAAAAGTGAAAGTTATTCTTCATTTTTTTGTATAAAAGATATGATTTTAGGGATTTTTTTGACGAAGTGTCAAAGTTCTCTTCGTAAAAAAATAACAGTTATATAATGAAAAAGTGTCATTTTTTCACGATTTCAGGGATTTTTTTTACGAAGTGCAAAAGTTCTCTTCGTAAAAAAAATAACAGTTATATAATGAAAAAGTGTCATTTTTTCATGTCCGAAGACTCGAAGGTGCAACACTTCCAAAATACCGACGAACTCAGAAGAGCAGCATGGCAGTATCTTCTTGACAACTTCTTTGAGTTCTCCAGGTACACCTTGGAAAATGCTGAAGAACTCCGACACAGAGAATTTGGAGAAATTGCACTCCAATACTACCTTGACAAACAAAGGGTAAACAAAGGGTAAAATAAGACTAAAAACTTAACGTTTAAAAAGTGACATTTTTAATGAGCTCCGAGTCACCGAGAAAACTTGGTCAGATGTTAGCAGCTTACTTCCCTGAGGAGGATGGAAGCGTTACATACGTAAGGTTCAAAAACAACGAACCTGGAATTGCGTACCAAATTCGCAATTACATGACCATGGAAGAGTACGAAAGGCTCCTACAAGAGAAACCAGCTCTAAACAACTCAGAAAAGAAAGAATAAAAAGTTTAACTCGTAATTGTTTATTTTTTTTACTTGTATGGGCAAGCTGCAAGAATGAAGTCGACTATCTCAGTCTTTGTCTTGACGAGCTGGACGGCTCTTGCGAGTACGTCTGTTTTGCGGTCTCCAGCTGGTGTCTGACCTTCGTAATTGCGCATGTTCTTGAGAGCTCCAACTGTAAATGATTGTAGGATGAAGAGTCTCTCAGACTGCTTGAGGTAGTCTTCACGGTCACGAACCGAATCTGTGGTACGAGTCGAATCGGTCGATTTGAGGGAAGAGACTGAAAGCCTGTCATCTTCCATTGGAGCTGTAGCATACTCTTTGCGTAAGCGGTTCAGACCTTCTTCGAAGTCTTGGTCTCTCTTCGATTGAGATTGGAATTGGAATTGCTGGGGTGGAGCTTGCTGGGGTGGAGCTTGCTGGGATGGAGCTTGCTGGGATGGAGCTTGCTGGGGTGGAGCTTGCTGAGATTGGAATTGCTGGGGTGGAGCTTGCTGGAACATCCAAGGGTTGGGGAAGTAAGGCATAGGTTGAGGAGGAGGGTAGTTCGGGAAGCCTTGTGGTGGGTAGTAACATTGAGGTGGAAATTGGTAGTAATTTGGTGGAGGTACTTGCTGGAACTGAGGTGCAGGGGCTGGTGCTTTAGGTTCTGTAGCTTTCGGTACTTCTGGCTTTGGAAGGCATTCAGGAAGAGGAACGTCAGTCATCCGTTTGTGTCCTGTCGGAAGGAAAATTTTTTCCTGTCGGATGGAAGGACTCGGAATGCCAGAAGGAAGAACTTTTCCTGTCGGAAGGAAAAATTTTTCCTGTCGGAAGGAAGAACTTTTCCTGAAGTTCGACCAAAAAGTTCTCAATTTTCGAAAATTTGAATGGTTTACGGACGGACAACTGGAAAATTTTTTCCTGTCGGAAGGAAAAATTTTTCCCTTTGTCCGGAAAAATTTTTCCAGTTGTCGGGAAAATATTTTCCTGTCGGATGGAAGGACTCGGAATGCCAGAAGGATTTGACGAGGCAGTTTACCTTATAGAGATAAATGAAGTTGTTAAGCAGTACTTGCGCAAGGTAATGAAGCCCAAGGTCAAGTTCACCAGTATTTCTGGAAGGTCTACACTTCAGCTCGAGACTTCGACTGGAATTCCAATTCAAATACCAGACGGGACAGCCTACGATGGCATAAAGGACGCCAAAAGAGAAGCTCTTGTTAAGTTCCTAAACAAACGTCCTTGGATAAAAATACCAAACAAGGAGAACCCCCTACCCCATATGAAATTGGCAATTCAGTCTCTCCTTCACTTCTCGGGTCAGCCGTTCTACATAACCTGTGAAGGCGACATTCAGCCAGTTCTTCAGCCAGTTCAGTAAACATCTCATTTTAACTTCACTTTTTTTATGTTTTTACGCATGTGAAGAAGAAGCCTTCTGGTAAGTTTCTTATAGCCATATACATGGCACGCTTTGAGTAAAAACATTTTTTGAATGAAGCAAGTTAAATTCGTCCCACACCAATCTCAATGGACCGATGAAGAGTTTCAAGCTATGGTTGAAGACGTTGAGAACGACATAGACGGCGAACTTGAAGGAGCTCAAATCACAATTGCAACCAAAATTGCAGGAGTCAAGGAACAGATAGCTCCACTTAAAGCTACCAAAGCTACTCTTGACCTCATGGATAGTTACCGTTTAGATGTCAAGAGTGGAATAAGACAATTAAAATTAAAACTTCTAAACTACGAAGCTATACTCCAAAAGTTAGCAGAAATGAGAAGACTTTACCAGAGCTACTTACATGTAAGGGACTTACCTTCAAGCAGTCCGACCAAAGATGAATTTTCTGACATTGTCCCAATTTTGTCCGAAAGTCAGCTCAGATGTTTCGAACTGCTCCCAACATATCCGGAATATGAACGTTTGCCTGAACTCTTCCGCAATCTCAAAAAACGTTTTTTGGTTCTCATGTTCCAAACTTTTATCGGAAGAGACAACAAACGTTCAGAAGAAGAACAAGATATTATTTTAAACTTGTTGTATGACTTAACCGTCATAACAAGCTTTTTGAAGTAAAACCGTCATTCTCAAACCACTTCATTTTTTCGATGTCCGAACAAGCACCGAAGCCAAACTCAATGGCAGATGTCCTTTCAAGGTTGTCAGACAAGCGCCCAGTTCAAATTCAAATTGCCCAATTGAACGCTCATCTGTCAAACACCATTAAGACTCTCCAAAGTAGTCTTATGGAAGAGATAACCAATCTCAAAGTCGAAGTCCTCACGAACCAAGCTTCCAATAAGAAAGTCCTGAACGATTTCGCGGAAACCTTGCGCCAATACAACATAGAGAACCAAAACCTTGCCCAACTCATCTACCGTTTCTTCGAAGAGATTGACACCATCTGGGCGGCACTCGGAAAGGACAGAACCTCCAACACCGTAATTCGTGAGTACCAAATTCAAGAAGGAATTTTCGAGGAAGAAGAGGAAGAAGAGGAAGAAGAGAAACACGAAGAAGTTCCTGAAGCCGCTACATGGGCAACCCTTGTTGCCGATGACGCTTATGAAATTTCCCAACCCTACCCATACAAAATCCGCAACAAGGAGACCGGCAAGGTTCTTACCCCAGTCCTCAACAACTTGGGACACTTGAACCTTACCCTTCGAAATTACGGTTCAATTTCCATGGGAAAGCTTGTCGGTATGCAATGGGTTCCAAATCCAAACAAGAAGACGAGGGTCAGACACATTGACGGTGACCAGCTCAACAACCGTAAGGAGAACCTCGAGTGGTTCTAAGAGTAAAAAAATTTTATTTTAGGGGGAAACCCCGAGTAAATTTAGGTGTTTAGTTCATTAAGTAGGTTAAATTAAGGGTAATTTGGACAATTAGCTCCCGACCTCTGAATTGGGCTCTTTCGTTATCTTCCCAGTTGCGTAGGAGGTCGTCCCAGAGGAGTTGGTAGAATTGCCAATCCAAGGACGATTTGTCCTCCCAAGCATTGAGGATGTACTGCTCGTAGAGTCTCATGACCTCTGCCTTGCACCAGACACCCTCTCCCTTGGAACGTAAGGCTTCTTCGAGGTGCTCGAATGCGATTGGCTGCTTGACCATCCGAAATGACACTTTTTGTCCGTTTGGTCAATGTTCGTGTCTCGTGCCATAGTCGACGAAAATACAGACAAACAGGTTATATATGAGTTTGAGACCAAGAATGGTGTAACTCGACCTGTCCGATTCAAAGACTCCGAGGGCGACCATGAAATTAAACGGAAATTAGCTAGGAAGGAATATAAAATGGACTGGTTGCCACCACCTCCACCTCCACCACCTTTACCTGTTCCTCAAGTAAATAAGCCTTTCCCGTTCCCAAGAATTCCCACATTTTAATTCAAATTCGAATAAAAATTTTTTATTTCATGCAATGTTTAACTATTTCACCATCTTCTTTAACACCCCAGTACTTACGCTTGGAGAGGACATGAACTTCGGTGAAAATTTTGTCCAATTTGAATTGACCCATCTTCTCACCGACTAAACCCATTTCAATGAGTTTGTTGTATCCTTCTTCGTTCGTCATGAGTGCGTCAATGTTCTCATAGTAAACCTTGACTTTCGATTTGACTTCCGAGAAGAACTCATTGTAGTTGTCAAGGACTGCCTTTGCGAACTGAGGGTAAGACCAATGTTCGACAATAGGTTTTAATGTGGTTACTAAGCCACTTTGACCTTGAGTGAATTCGTACTTCAAAACAAAAGGAGAAAACCTTTCAACAAAGTTGTCGACCTTCTCATAATGTTTACTCTTCATCTCTTGAGGTTTCTTAATGGAATATCCCCATGTCGAATTCATAAGCAATTTGAGTGTCATTGCAAGTTTGGGGTTTGAAGCTTTCCTAATATCATACAGTTGTTGTATGACTTTTCCAACTGTATAGTTCCTTCCCGGGAACTCACCATCTTCGTTTGGAATTCCAGTCGGAATATATTGGACAAACCTCATGTATGCAGCGTTAAGGTCGACATAGTATATCTTTTCATCTGAGTCGAACTTGTCGCAACCAATTGGTCCAGTTTGTGGAAATTCAAGTGAGTCTCTTATCTTCTGAGAAACTTCTCCTGTTATCTCATAAACATCGTCGAAGCAACCTGTTTCATATAAAACCTTCTGACCTAACTCAGATGCTCTCCAATACAATTTGACGTCAATTGGATGTCTCAATGGAAGTTTGTTTATAGCATCTTGAAGTTCTTGCAACCTCATTGGAAGTTCTTCTGGTTCAGGTTGGTATCCGAACAATCCAACTCCTTGTGGAATTGTGTACTTCTTTTGTACTAGAACTTTGTCTGGAACAACTTTTGGTCTTGCTAACAATGAAAAGTTTGTTTCGTCTTTTGGTACAAAAGTTTCTGTCAGCTTGTCATCTGGAATTGGTTCCAACAAACCTTTCTCGAAAAGAATGTTTACAGCTCTGACAATGTTGCACTTGCCTTTTCCGAACAATGGGTTTGTAAGACTTTCGTTCAACATGAAGTGGTTGTGGACAATTACAATCTTCAACCATGGCAATTTGAAGTCAACAACATAGTCGTCATGTGAAGAACCTTTAGCTGTAGGTATGTTGACTCGGATATTGACATTTGCCAACGGTGCAATTTTTGCCAATTGACCTCTGAGAATGTACCTTGTCTTCACACATGACTCAAGATACTTCATTTTCTCATCTGTAACAAGACCAGAGTTCCTGAGACATGTAAGAATACAAGGTTCATTGACAATTGTTTCAATTGAATTGTAAATTCCATACCTTGTCAAGTCAATGTCAGACTTATTTCTGAAGGGAAGTATCCAGCATGTTGTCTGACTGCTTGAGGGTTAGGTTGGTACCATTCGAACTTGACACTTGCAATTCCTTCAATTGCATTCAAAATGTCTGAGTCGGAGTCAACCATTTGTTTCTTCTTTGTAGTCTTGAAAGCGTCAAGAAGTTTTGCGGCTGTTTGTTCATTGCCATGTGCATAGTAAATGTGACCATCCAAATCTGTTATGGTCAATCTGAGATTGTGTCCTTTCTTATTTCCGTCTTGTATGGCAGCAAGTACACCCTGAAGCCTTCTTTGTTCTTTCCTTCGTCAAAGTTTACTGTAAAGGTTCGACCAGATGTAATTTGACTTCTAACTTCACGATACTTTTCATATGCATATCTTGTTCTTTCCATGGGAGCATGTGTGTCTTCACCTTTTCCTTTTTTCCTTCTCAAAGGATGCAATTGTTCGTCATGTTTCCAGTAGAATCTGGCAAAGCCGTCGTGTCCTTCAACTTGAGGTTCTAACATCGAAAGGCATGTCCATAAGACGTTCTTCTTCTAACCTCTCTAGTCTGTTTGGATAATTTGCACGTGCTGTTTCCAAATCCATTTCGTAGCGAAGACCAGACAATTTGTCATAGACTTTTATGGGTCTTCCCTTCCTATATTTAAATTCTTCGAAACTCTCCAACCATATCTTTGCAACTCTGCTTTTATTCTAGCAGACTTTCTATCCATTCTATATGGGGGCATTTTTATAAAAATAAAAAAATATTTTTTTCTCTTTACTTTACATAACCGCCTGCTGCCATAAGTCTTTGACGCCAACCCATACCAGCTAATGAAGGTTGACTTGGTTTAGTTTCCAAACTAAACTTTGGTTTTGGTTTATCTTCAGTTTTTGGTTTCTCTTCTTCTATCGTTTTTCGTCACTTTTCGTTCCTCTGACTTTACTTCACTTGCAGGAAAGTTGTGTCGTCAACATCTTCATAAATATCATATGCCATTTGTTTTTGTTTTCCTTTCAACTTTTTGTGTTTGTTGTAAAGTTTAGAATATTTCGACTCTAAGTCAATGAGATGTTCTATAATGAACTGTTGGTCAGTGAAGTAAACTTTTCCATCTGTTGTCTCGAAAGCTCCTTCAGACTTCAATATTTTTATTTGTGAGAGTCTGTTTCTTTTTTGAGATACTAGCCGTTCCATTTTTATGAAAAGTGACTTTGTAGTTAGGGTTTTGTATTTCCAGACCTGGCACTTTCTATTATTGAATTTTTCTCTTCATCTGTAAGTTCTTTGACAGGTTTTGACAATGGTTCTGAACTTTTTGTTTGTGGTGTCAAATCTACCGTTTCAACTTCTTCGGTCATTTCATCTCAGTAAAAAATTTTAGTTTGGTTTGTTTTCAACTGGTTGTTGTGTTTTTTTAAGTCGGTCTAAAACTTCCTGAGGTATAGGAAGAATTGACAAACACGTTGTGTAACTGCTGGAAGTCGACAAATCCATCTTGAACCCATTTTGTCTCAATGCTGTATTGTTCATTTCATCTCAGTAAAAAACTTTACATTCCCCACGTTTGAGGCGGTTGAGGTTGGTTATTGTTTACCCACTGTTGTGCATGGTTATATCCTCTGTTAAAGAATCTTTCACCTTGGTCCATATAGTGTCCTGCTTGGTTATAGTAGTCATTTGCTTTGTTATAATAGTTTCCTGCTTGTCTTCCTACATTGTCCATCCATCCTTGAACTTTTCTCTTGTTTCAGGATTTGGAATAAGATTTGTTGCATCTCGTGCTACCTCCCAACCTTTCTGTACAGTTTGTATAATAGGTTGTGCTTTCTCTTTCAGTATACCTAATGTACTCAAAATCTTCCTTCCAACCCAAATACACCTCTGGCTATTGTTCCCACTGCGGGTAAAAATCTGGATGCAACTCCTGCTAACGCGCCAAATAAACCCATTTCTTATGGGTTAAAAAATGACGAATCCAAACAAGGACCCCTATGTTTCTAAAGCGACAAAGAAAGCACTCATGGTAAAAATCTTTAGTTCAACACCAAATGCTTGGTTTATGGATATCTTGGAAAACATTCCGAGGTATAGAGAAGTTAGTATCCCTAACTTGGGTACGGCGGCACTGCGTTCCACCTTATCCAAGTTAACGGTTTGACACTTTACGAAACCGGTAACGTATATTTTACAACACAACCATAACACCAACTTAACCTTAAATATTTACAAAACCATCTGACACATAAATGATTTCACTAACGATTTCACTAACTACTTCACTAACGACTTCACTAACGAATTCCCTACCGTCCTCACTAAATAAAAATAACCTTATTTTTATTTTTTTAAATTTTTTATTTCATTACAAAGACATGTCCGACTACATTTACTATGACTCTTTCCCAGAACGTTTCCGTGAACTATTCAAAACTCAAGTAAAACTGAGAAACATGCATTTTAACAAAGACAGACCCATTGACGATGAAAGAAACCCTGAATATATTACAATCCCTTATGACGCAAAGTTCATTGCATACATTCCTTATGGTCGCAGAGGAACGAAAACTATTTCAACAAAGAACAAAAATTATTTCTGGAGCGATGAAGAAAATTGCCTTATCTACATAAATGCATACTTAAATAAAGCTACATATTGTACAAAAGAAGGTTGGACTGGATTTGAGCTCTACATATACGACGACGATGGAAACAGACGTTGTGTATACCCATACGATAATATGTACCATTGTTTTCATCAAGCATTAAACGAATACATAGTCAGTAAGGGTCTCATTCCTGCTGAGTAGAAATGTTATATTTTTGTTCTGTCATTTATATAAAAATAAACGTTCTCGCTAAATAATAAAATAAACTTAAAAATAAACGTTGTCAGAGGTGAAAAAATAAATTTAGGTGAAGTGGTGAAATCTCACCTCTTTTTTCACCTCTTTTTTCACCCTAGCCGCAAAGCGGCTCTGACCCTTTGGGTCTGTTGAATTCATTGCTTTATAACTCTCTTCCTTTCTCCAACTCTTCTAACTTCTTCTTAAGTTCAGCAATGTTGTCCTCATGAAGTTTAATCTTCCTTAATATACCTTCTCTATCTAATGGTTGCTTTATCTTTCTAAACTGAACTCTACCATCCTTCATAGTATGAACGTAAAAACCTTCTGGAACCGCTCCTGATTTAATGTATTCTACCAAAAATTTTTGTTTCATTGCTTCAGTGACTTTAGTCGTCATTTTACTCTAAATAAAATGTTCAAATAAAATAAAACTAACATTATTTTTTCAGTAAGGAAACGCAGGAGTTTTACGATTTATTTGAGGAGTAGGTTCTGGTTTAAATGTTGGAGTCGGTTTTGGAGTTGACTTTTGAACAGGAGTTTGTACTTTCATAGGTTCAGGAGTCATTGAAGGTGTTGTTTGTGAAGGCGTTGGTTTTGACGTTGGTTTTGGCGATGGTGTCGGAGTTTGTTCAAATTCAGCTACTTCAGTATTATTTATAACATTTGCTTTGTTTCTTTTCAACATCATTACTGCTCCTGCTGTAGCTAGCAAACCTAGTGGGAGACCATATCTTATATAAGGACTTGACCAAATGCTATTTTTGACAGGAGCTGGTGGAACACCTAACCTTGGTGAGACTGCTCTTTGCCATTGTGCAGCTCGTAAGAAATATTCAATAGGTGCTCCATAATCGTTTGGTAAAGTTTGTTTCACAGATGGTGAAGGTTCACGAGAGCTTGATGAAGAACTCATTTATAAGCTTTAAAATAAACGTTCATCCTTTATTCCTCACTGTCGTCCGCTGCTAAGTTATAGTCGTCAAGTCTTATTATTGGGATTCCATTAGCACGCACTTGTATGGCAAAGCAACAATCCCTCATAAATCCAATAAGTGGCTTTGGTACATTTTCAGTTGCTAGTTCAATAGGTCCTTTAACAGACAATTTGTATGTTATTGGAGCAGTAGATCTTTGACCTTGCTGGAAGCAAAAGTCCACTTCTGTTGGAAAACCACATAAGAAATGTGTGTTGTCATAGCTATCCCATTTTGTTCCACACTACCATCATCCACCAATGACCTCATAACATCTTCATTAAATCCAATCATATCATTGTTTGTATTGCAAGCGTTCGCAACCATTTCATAAAATACAGGTCCATATGATTTTTCAGGTTCTGCAGGCATATTTCATAAGCTCCATGGAAAGCTGAAGATATTTAAACTTAGGGTTCTCAAAATTAACATAATAGTTGTCTTTCTTTCTAAATAGTGCCCAAATACTTTTAACATTAATAGGCGTATAAGCTGCTGTAAATGTTGCACTTGAACTATCTGTATTCTTTGAGAATGAACCGTCCATAGGAATCCAATCCATAACTTTAACAGGAAAACATAAAGCCTCGTTTGTATAATGTTCTACAAGTTCTGTTATAAATGTTAGGGTCTAAAGAGAATGACTTTGGATGAATGAAACATTCATTAAAATCCATCTTTGTTTCGAAATAGTTGCTGGGTTACAGTTGTAATAGTAACTGTTCCACTAGCTTCTACTGCCTTCGTTATCATAGTGAATGGTTCATTCCATGGAACAAATTTATTTGTCGGTGGATTTGAATCTGAAGCAAATGCAACTTTAAGAGTTGGATTGAAAGCCAATGATATCATTTACAGATATAGATGTGCATTGTAAGGCGTCGCTACTGAACTTTACTTTAAGCTGAATGTTTCCTGCAAAAGCTGGAATAAATCGAATAGCTTCTAATGGAAGGAATCTTCTAACAGGAATTCTTAAACGAAGCTTAAAATCAAATGATTTTCCTGCTGTAATTGGACCACTAACAATTTGTCCTGTTCTGCATGTTCCCGAATGACTCCATACATCTTTGTCGAGTCTTTGAAAAACATCGACTTTCTTTATTTGTTCGGTAGTTTGTGAGTTTGAAGTTATATATGCTTCTTCTCTTGCGTTGTCTTGAGAATATACGATACGACCATTTGCAAGGATTTGATATCCAGCAACTGCATAGAAAGCGTCATCGAAACCAATCCAAAATCCTGGTGGGTTTGTTTTATTGGAACCTGAACCAATTTCTTTATCTACAATAAATTGACCTTCCATTTTATACGTAATGAATGTATTGTAAAGGTCCAACATATTTTCACCAGGAGGTGAGAGATTGAATGTTACCCATGTGTTATCTTTAGCAGTTCCAGGTTGTGATGGAATCTTTGCGTCAGAATATTTTCTATTAGTGTCACCAATTTGAACTGCATTGTCTATGATATCGAAATATGAGCGAATCTGATGAATATGCTCTGCTGGAGTAAATTCGTTTAACTGTTCGTTCTGCATGTATTTACTTCAGATAAAAATATCTATTTACTTCATTATTCTCACTCTTCTTCTTGGTATTCGTGGTGGAAGTTGTTTCTTGACATTTTCAATGAACTGTACATTCTCTTTTGTCTCAACTTCTTTCACTGGTGGGTCAGGGTTCTTTGACTCGGTTTGCTTTTCAATGAAATTCACGAACTTTGCAATAAGCTCTTGGTTCGTTATTGAAAGTACATCTGGCTTCTTTTCTTCTTGTTCTTTTGGTGGCTCAGTTTGTACAGAAGGTTTTATATGGGCTTCGCCCTCGGTGCCATGCACCTTAATGTTGTCGCTCTCTGTATTCGCTAATGGAACCTTTCTTTTTCTTACATATATTTTACCATCTTTACTCTGACTTACATAATAGAAAGGATGTTGTATTCCTCTGGCGTCATTTAATATAATAGACTCTCGTTCTGATTTTGACAAGCTCATTTTACATCGGTTAAAGTTTTAATTTAGTTTTTTATCTACAGTCAAATGACTCAGTCAAATCCTACGGACAAGACCCAAGGGGTCATAGATGTTGAAGCATTGAAGAAAGAAATTCGTGAACAAATTTTATCCGAACTGAAGGAACAAAAACAGAACAAAAGCCAGAGAGACCAAAGAGAAAACTTAGTGAAAAACAACTAGCTGCATTAGCTGCTGGAAGACAGAAGAACCCACGTTTGCTGGCGAAAAAAGCTAGAGAAGAAGCAAAAGCAAAGGAAGAACAAAAAGCAAAGGAAGCTGAAGCAAAGAAAGAGTAAATGGTTTATTTTTATCCAAACTAAATGTATAGACAAATACCTTTATCTGTTGCGTTCAGTAGTGAAAACCCTGACGTCAAAATAAAGGGGAACAGAGTAACGTTTAAGTTTCCAACAGACTGGATTGTGAACATAAATGAAGAGAAGTACATTGGCATAACATCTATGTATATAACACGTGCTTTCAGAAAGGTTGACTTTATACTTCAAGTCGAGATAGAAAATGACGAACAGTCTTTAAGCGCCCAAAACATTCACATATACAAATACTTTAAAGACGATACAACATTGTTGCAATGTATGATTTCATTTAATGAGATGTTCGAGAAAAAGTTCAATATTGAAGTACAAACTTTACAGCCTTTACGTGAGTTTCTTGCACAACTGAAAGAAGAAGGTAGTCAGCCACAACTTATAGACTTTCATTATGAATTTAATGAAAATGAAGATGGAACTCATGACTGTCAGTTTGTTATATATTCACCATTCAATGAAGTCGCTAAAAAGAAAGAAAATCCATTACGTATAAGGTTTCAAATCTCTGAACCCAATGAAGACTTCAAGAATGTTTTCAATTATGATGCAATACTTCCGAGGAAAAATGAATTTTCAAAGATTGTAACACCTGGCATTTGGGATAGAAAGCAAGCTATATTATATTCAAACTTAAGTAAGGGAGTTGAAAATGAGTTCATTGGTCATACAAGAACTTCACCACTGTCAAATCCTAAGTATTACAAGCTTACTGGCTTCAATCGTGAGTTTTGGATAGACATGTTCTCCACTCATGACCATAAGTGCCCAGTGTTCTTACCTCCAGATGGGAAAGATTGTTTATACATTGAAGCACAATTGTTAAACTCTACAATAGCTGTATTGTAAATGACCACATAGGCTTCGCCCATGCCGCTAGCGGCTTATTTTTATCACAAATGACCTCATTGCTGACAAAAATAAATGACCTCAGAACTTCAACTTACGAATAAAGCTTGTTTTAGTCGTTATTGAAAAGTTGAACTTTTCAGCAAAGCAAGGTTGACATGACTTACATAAGTCGAATGCAATCTCTTGACCATCATAAAGTGCTTTGTAAAGTTTCATTAAACTGAACTCAGAGTCTTTGTCATATGTTCCAACAGGTATGTGAATGTTCTTATCTTCATTGTAATAGCATTGTATAGCTTCAGGAAACATTTCATTAGCGGTTAAAGCAATAACATCTTGCTTCACGCCTTTCATTCTGCAGTGAAATGCAACTTCATTTAAATCATTCGTGAGTAAGTCTATGTAGGTCTTCTTTCCACAGAAAATACTTTTATAAGCTAAACTTTGTTTTCCAGGTGTTATTTCTGCAAAGTCGCTATGAAATTGACCAAGGTTCTTTCCTATAAGTTCTCTACCGTATCTCTTCTTAAACTCTGCTGCAAGCTTTGGGATGTCTTCATTATATAAGTGCATACTGTCGGTATCCTGGTAAAATATTTGAAGACCCATGTCCTCTGCAGTACAGAATACTTCATTCATAATACGTTTTGACATAGACAGAATATTAACACCAAGTGGACAGAAGTTAAAGTGTCTGCAAATGCTTTTCGTTAGCTTGAAAATAGTTTTATCTGAACCATCCAAACCTTCGAACTTCACTATATGGTTGTAATTTCTTATAGCATATCTTATAGCATCTTTGTCATCTACTATGGTTATTTTTGACTCAATAGGAGATAGAATAGTTTTGCCATAAATGCTGTTCAGAATGAGTTTTATAATTTCTTGTAAGGGGTTTTCTTCTTTCTTATACTTTAACCTTAACTCAAACAACTTCTTTACTTCATCTCTTATTCTCATATCTCTGTTTCCATCGTAATAGTATCCTTGCAACACTTCACATTTGACACCTTGATATTTTATGAGGTCTTGTAATGTTATATGGTCAACATACATGAGACAGCAAGTGTTTGAACTTCTTGGAACGTTAAGTTCTGGATTTAGTTCAGGGTCGCAAACTATTAAATGAAAGTGTCTGGGTATACCAATCTCTGTTATCTTAATGAGAACAAAGAAGCCAGACATAAACTTTTCACCAATGGGTTCCTTTTGGTCATCATCGAATAAATGTCTCATGAGATACTCTGTGTTTAACATTTCTTCCTTCAATACTTTTGGAATACCTTCTAAAGTATAAAGTCTTGCTATAGCTGAAGGATATAATGAAACAGTGTCGAAGTCAGCAATGAGTTTCTTTTTGCTCTTTTGTTTCATGTTATCTGACAACATACATCTTCCACCTTGAATGCATCTCGAAATAAATTCTCTTGGTTTATTTGAGAGGTCATAAAGATTTCCATTCGGGAAGTATACTCTGTTCTCAAACAATTTGTTAGCAATTGAACAAATACTAACGTAGTCATAAACGTTTAAATCAAACTCTTTCAATAAGTCATTGCGGAACTTTACAAAACCTTCTCTTAAAATTCTTACATCTTGTTTGCAGTAAAACGTGCTATATTTTTCTAAGTCGAAGTGGTTCTCATCTATTCTGCAACCTTTGATGGAATCTATGTTTTTCATAAATGTATCTGCATCCCGGATAAACTTACATGCTTCAGAAATGACACCAGTTCTGTTGTCATTTGCTAACAAAACACTGCTGTAGTAGTTATATGGAAATACTTCTTTCGGTCCTGTTTGTAAGTTAAACATAGCAGGAAATAGTTTAAGCTTCTTATTTATAACACTGTAAGAGTCTTTTATAATAATTGCCCGTCCTTTATATAAACCAGTTATTTGCATTGTTCGTGAACCTTTAATGATGGGAGTTCCTTTCACTTCTGTCATGTGTCTTAAGATGAAGTTTATGTCATAACTGAGGTTGTGAAAATATATTAAACTCTTGTCAGGGAGTCTTTCCAAAAATTCTGTTGCACAGTTTTGACCCCAAATGCTTTCACTCACTGAACCATCTTCACTGTCATAACAGATGTTAAAAGCTTTATGAAAGCCATCCGTACTACACTCAAAGTCAGCAAAGAAAACGTGCTCAGGAATGAATTTACATTTAGCTTTATTTACTTCTTTTGACTCTGCTTTCTTCTTCAGTTGTACACAATACTTTGGAGCATATGTCAAATCTTTAAATGGTGCAAGGTTCTGTTTATATAAGTCAGTAGTATATGTGAAAAGTTCTCCATAAGAAATAGGTTCGAAATATTTGCACTCCCACAATGTTTTCATAACATCCCATAACGGTGTTGTTCTATCATAACGAACTACATATTTATCTTCTCTCTTTGTATAAATCTTCATCTGTTTCTCAATGTTCATTCCACCACAAGCTTTGAGAATTTCTTTATAGTTTCGAATGAAGTATGTTGTCATTGGAAGTCTTTCATTTAGCATGTAGTGGTCTTCAACAAGAAGTAAGTCAATAGTTCTAACAGTTTCGCATTCTTTTGGTATATATCTCTTTATTTCATTATGTCTTGAGTCATTGAAATAACCAATGGTAACATTAAATGCTATACCTGTTGCGTCAGAAATTTCTTGTACTTTACTTTGAGGAAAGTCTCTAACACGAATGACTTCTCTCATGTGGTCAATAGTTTCTTCATTTACTCCAGCCTGAATGCAAGCATAAACGAAACAATTGTCCTCTGTCATAAGTATTGCAGTTCTTTTGTTCAGTTCATTGAAGATTTGGTAGCGTTCAAGATTTATAGGTAATGTGCAAAGATACTTCCATAACTGACCGCTTCTCTTCTTATAAAACTTCTTTTCACCATTATCTTTCCAAAAGCTTTCTATAAGTGCTGGGTTTCCTGTTTGCTTAAGAGCTTCCAAAATGGCTTTCTGGTCATTTGTCAGTGTGCTTTCATCTCTATATGGTCTCTTTTTTGGTTTGCCTTTCTTTACATCTGACATCGTTAAGCCTTCATATTCTGTTAAATCATACATCTTTATTTCAGTAAGATTCTTTATGTTTGTCAAGAAGAAGTCATAGTGCATTTCAACAATACCTGCAGCATTTGCTTCTATCTCTGATATAAAGTTCTCCTTCAAGAGCTGATGTAGTAATGTTCCAATATTATTGAGGTTTAACGTAGAACATTCATACTTTCCACCAAGTTTATAACATACCATCCATCTTTGTTGCGAGTTTATTTTAATTTTCTCTAAGAGTCTCATGAAAACCTTACCGAAATGTTTGTGTAAATATTCTCTGTTTGGTTCATCTAAAGCTTCGATGTTAAAGTCAATGAGTCTATTGCCTGACTTCACATTTCTCTTCCTATTCTCTTCATCTTTCTTTAACCATCTCTCACCTTCTTTTGGTTTGTCGTCAATGGAACGAATGACATCGTTAGCTTTGCGAACTTGTTCTATAGCACTTTTAAACATCTCTCTTCTCTGTTGTTTCAGTGTGTCGTCTCTTCTTCTTGTTTCACCAACGTTTGCATTTGTTATGTCAAACATTTCTTGACGAACATCATGCGAAAGAGCTTTACGAGTATGACCAACGTTCGCATTTGTTATGTCAAACATTTCTCTTCTTACTTCATGAGGTACTGAACGTCTATGATATAAGTCAATAGCAATGTCATTTAAAGGAAATGCTCTTGCATGGACTTCGTCCTCGCCGCGTTGCGGCTTTATGAACTCATGAATTCTATCATAACTTATTGCACCATTGTAGTCTTTAATGAAGTCAGCGAGTGCTTTTTTGTTTGTCGCGTAATGTTTTGCAACATCTATATTAGCTTCTGTAAGAAGTTGTTTTATTTCCGAGTGTTCTAACTTAGACAACTTCCGATACATCTTTAGTAGGAAATAAAAAAATATTTTTTCGAAAAAATAAACTTAGAAAAATTATTTCTTTATATATTTGCCATTCCGAACTTCGAAAAGATGTTTTATACCAGCATAGAATTTTTCTCTAGAGCTTGGTCTTATATCGTTTTCATGACAATATTTTCTATATTCTTCATATAAAGCCTTTTTTTCATACATTTTATAAGGACAATCTAACCAGAATAGCGCATATCCATTTTCGTTATCTAGGTCTCTATATGTTTGTGGAATTTCGCTTTCTTCTGTTTGTAGAATTTCGCCTTCACTATTTAGTTCTATGTATATATATTGTGGAATTTCGCTTTCTCTATTTAGTTCTATGTCTATATATTGTGGCTTAAAAGGATGTGGGCAAGAAGGGTCTGGCGCTATGTAAAAAGTTAATTTTTCTGTCATCTTTTCTATCGGATAAAAAATATTTTTTGAAAAATTAGATTACATTTTTTTAAGTTATTTTTCAAAATAATTTAATATTTTTATTTTAATGAAACACATGCAAGATTGCAAGTTCTTTTCATACAATGCTCTCGCTACTGCCATCAAGAATGAGTTCAATGGTTCTGCAAACGTTAATGTTATCTTTAACAAGAAGTTTGTGAAAGAATCTAAGTTCGGTCAGTATGTCAGACCATTAGCTATTGTCATTGACCGCAAACGTTATACTTCACAAGAGTTAGCAGTAGTTTTGAAACAAAAGGGTTTCTTCGTGAATGTCAAAGATACTCATTATACTGTTATAAAGAACTCCAACATTGACTTCTTCAGTATTGCTATGAATCTTTCCGAACAGAAAGAATATAAGAAGGGTGAAACATCTGTGAAATATTATCCTTCATCTCTGAAGACAATAACGAACAAAGATGTTATACAAAAGTTCTTACCAAAGGTTGAAGAAGCTTCTATTGACATTGACGAAGGAAGTGAAATGGTTGAAGAAATTGACCCTGAAGCTATTTAACCAAAAATATATTTTTGGTGAAGAGGTGAGATTTCACCTGTTTTTTCACCTCATTCTCTCTTCGTTAATGTTGTCGTGACTTCTTCGTTAATGTTGTCGTGACTTCATTCTTCCTCTTTGAAGTTATCGAAATATTCTGTTATTTTTTCCTTCAGTAATGGTAAGTCTTCTTTGAAGGTAAGTATTGTGCAACCTTTGATGTCATAGTGTGTTTGAGGAAGAGTATTTTTGACAATTTCTTTTATTTGCTCATTCGGTGTCATTGAAATCGGTAAGTTTTCACGATAGAACCAGTTTCTGTCAGATTTATATATTTTAGCAAGGTCGTAAAAGCTTTTGTTGTTTCTTCTGACTAAATGCAACATAACCATATCTCTGTCTTCTTCATTCTCCAACTCTTCAGTATAAATCATATACTTATAGTTCTTTTCCTTTCCTTTTGGTACTGAACGCGGTATTCTTTTCTGTATGCTTTTGTCTTTGGATTCAATGACTTCATCTTTTGCTTGAAGTTTCTTTTCCATCTCTCCACGTTCTTGTCTGTGAAGTTCGTCAAGAAGTTTGTAAATATTCCAAGCATAACGTGGTGAAGCCCACATTGCAACTGCATTTACTAAAAGTCTATGAACATAATATCCTCTCAAACCGTTTGGCAATTTTTCACGGTTTTCATAGAGTTTTGGCGACTGGGGTTTCTTACGTACTCGCTGTTCTTCACTGTTTTCATAGAGTTTTGGCGACTGGGGTTTCCCTCCCACTCGCTGTTCTTCACTGTTTTCAGAAAAAAGTATGTCTCGCTGTGCTTCGCTCAAAAGTTCTTGTGTGCTTTGGTTCCTAAACCAGTCTTGTGGTTTCTTAGTATCTGGAGCAAAACATGCTGTCAAAATACTTTGCATTTGGTACATATCGTCTTTGACCGAACGAATGAGACGGAGTTGTTTGTTAAACTGTATGTACTCATATTCTTCATTTATAGCTTCATGGACTATAACTGTTGTTGTGTTCTCTGATGTTGACATATCTGTCTTTACATACAAAATAAAAAAAATATTTTATAAAAAACTAACTTTATTTTTTCTATCTTAAGGAAATTCATGAAATTTGGTCATTTTTCAGCAAAAATATATTTTAGGTGAAGAGGTGAGATCTCACCCGTTTTTTCACCTGTTTTCTACCCTCTTGAATTTTCATGATTTCATCGTATATGTTTTGTCAAGACTTCTTCATCGTACATTCTTTGTCATGATTTCATCGAAACTAAACATACATGTTTTGTCAAGACTTCTTCGTAATGAGCGTAAATGACCCAAAAATAATGTTTAGGGTAGAAGGTTAGATCTAACCTCTTTTCTAACCTCTTTTCTACCCCAGTTATTTTATAAGCGTTTTACATGGTAAACGTTATTTTTGGAATTTTGTGAAAACTCAACGGTTTGACACAAGCCCTAAAAATTATTTTACTCAGAATTTTGGTCATTTTTCAGCAAAAATATATTTTAGGTGAAGAGGTGAGATCTCACCCGTTTTTTCACCTAATTTTTCACCCCAGTTATTTTATAAGCGTTTTACATGAATTGTACGATGTATATTTGAAATCCTAAACAGTTTTGTAGCTTCTATTTCTTCTGTCAGTATGTCAAAAGTTTTAACAATGCCGAAAGTCTCTTTATATTTCTTCTTGACGTCAGATAGAAGGAAATCTTCTACTGTTGGATAGTTTTTGTTCAGAAATGCTAACATGTCCATTTTATCTTCTGCTGGCTTTTCTGCTTCTTTCTTTAAGTCTGCATAGTCGTTTCGCATTCTTTCTATCTCTTTGACGGAGTAGTTATATTTCCTTATTGCTGCTTTACATTTTGAACATTGTGGGTTCATTTTTGCATTATACATTGAAATTTGACCTGCTAAAACAACCAAGGCGTCAATTGCTCTCTTCATCTCAAACATAGCGGGTCTTAGTTGTTCGTTCCATACTTTGCCTCTTCTATCTTTATCTCTTATTTCCCAAACACATTCAGCAACTAACGAAACAAAGTTGTCGTAGGTCTTAAATTCTTCAGATTTATATATGTCAGAAACATTCTTATATACCATATCGCAATCTTTGTCCATAACTTTATGGTTGCAATGAAAACCAAGGAATTCATAATTTACTTTACGTATGAACTTCTTTATTTCTACTGAGTCAGTTGCTTTGACTTCAATTTCGTCGAATTCAGGAATAGTTAGTTTTTGATGCTGAATTTCAGGCAATTTGGGTAAATGGTCGATGAGGTCCTCCATTTCATAAAGATACTGTTCATTTGTTTCATCTTTCGCACTACAGTCTAAATTACTTGTTAAAAGTTCCTGCTTAATTTTTTGTATTTCTGTTTCGAAAGTAAATGAAGAAGGAATGAAGCTTTCCATCTCTACTAACATAGATGTTGGATTCATGACTAACGAGTTTGGTGAAGTTGTTGTGGACAGAGTCCCGCCGTTCGCGGCTTGAATTGTTGTTGTGCCGATTGTTGAAATCATATCTTTTATACAAAATAAAAAATAAATAAAAATAAAACTAACTTTATTTTTTCTATCTTAAGGAAATTCATGAAAATTCAAGAGGTGAAAAAACAGGTGAGAAAACAGGTGAGATCTCACCACTTCACCTAAACATTATTTTTTGGTGAATTCAATAAAAATAAATGGTTCATTTACTCACAATATTTTTTTACAAAACGACCCCAAACTTTTAACTTCTTTTCTGCAGCTTCAAATGCTATCTTAGCGAGTTCATATTCTCTAAATTCTCTCTTTAAATCTTCTTGTTCCCATTGGTCTAGTTCGTATGGAGAATCTCTATAACCATAACATATCTCACGTTCATGTTCTAATTGTTTTTCACACATTTTTCCAACTTCTTCTTCGAACAAAGGTTTAGCATTCTCCACTGTATCTTCGAGTTCTTCTTCATCTAACTTCTCATGAACTTTCTTGTCTATGGAGTCCATAATATCTTTGACATAAAATGCATACTTTACAGAGCACCATTCAGCAACAAAATGAACGAGGTCAGCATGTATGTAAATACCTTTGAATTCATTCATAACGCCCTTAGTAAGCTCATAAAATGCTTGTTTTGAGGTTGAGCCACTTTTGGCTCGACCGTATTCTTTCAACCAAAACTCAAGAATTTCCTGCATTTTAGCACTATTGAGAAATCTGTTTAAATGGTTTAACTTTCCTGCTTCTCTTGCCATCTTTGTTGCATTAATGTAACCATCCTTGTCTCTACGTAAGACTTCAATACCGTTATAAGTGCCTTTTGTGAATGTTTCACCATTAGATTTGTTCGTGAATGTTTTTGCTTCGACTGACATTTCTGTTCTTACATACAAAATAAAAAAATAAATAAAAATAAAACTAACTTTATTTTTTTGGTCTTTTGTGAAAATTCACGAAAATTCAAGAGGTGAAAAAACAGGTGAGAAAACAGGTGAAATCTCACCTCTTCACCATATAATATATTTTGTCTGATTTACATCCAACGAAAAAGTTTAGAAGAATTTTTTATTCTTTCTGGCATGTTTTATCTTTCCAGTACTCCCGCTCTAATGGTCCCAGATGAGTTGGTTTAGATTCTCTCAAGTTCTTAGATGGTATAACATCTTCAACGCCTCCTTCATATCTTACTTTATAAGTGTCATCGTTTATGTTGTAGTCAAGTATTTCAAATAACCACTCCTCGCTTTGCTTCGTCAATGGTTTCAGCAAGTTTGCCATTACTACTTTCGACTAATTTATGACGAGGGTAAAATGCTATGGAGTCGTCAGCAGCTTTTATAAGATATCCATTACCTTGCGTAGAGTCTACGATATAATAATTTCGACTTAACCTTAAACGTTTCTTTGTCAACGGTTTGTCGTCAAGAACTACACGAACTTTTGTTCCAGGAATGAGAGTAATTGTGTTGAATTTCTGATATTTTGTGTTTGACTTCGTTTCTTTTGTATATACTTTTCTTCTTGTTGTTGTGTCATTGAATTTGGTGTATGTCCTGTTGTAGAATGTGTTGAGGAATTGTAAACTTCGATGAAATGTTTCATTGTTTCTTCGGTAAAGTCTCGCTCTTGATTTAAATCTCTGAGAGTCCTTATGAAGCGGTTAATGATACCGAGTATGTTATGGTTATGGTCTTCAGTAGTGTAGTGAGTTATGTTATGCTTAATGAGAAATTCTGTGATTTCGTTGCTGAGGTATGCACCGTCTTGGTCTGATGTTAAAATACTTGGGCTATGTTCTGCTACAAACTTTTGTAAAACTCTTAACACTTCATGAGTTCCTTTATTTCTCATTATATACGCAAAAGCTTTGCGAGTGTTAACATTAATGAAGATGAGGAATGGTTTATGTCCTCCTTTTCTGCTTTGAATGAGAGTGTCAAATTGGTATGCGTCAGGAGTGTTGGAGTAAATTGGTAAAAAGTAGTCGTAAGGATTTATTTTTGTTTGATGTACAACATTTTTGTCAAAGAACCTTTTCACTTCAGCTCTGTTAGTAAATCCCGAACTCTTTGCAGCTTCATTGAATTTCTTAAAAGACCTCCATGGATGTTGTTCGAATACTTCTTTCAAGCTCATTTATGTAAAGTTAAAGATTTTAACCAACTCGTATCCAAGCGTGCATTGTTATATAAGGAGGCATATAATCTTTTCCATTACCTGCTGGGTCTGTAATACCAGCTACAACATGTGTATGATTTCCTGCAGTTCCACAGAAAATACCTGTGCTAACATCTTTGGGGTCATCTGAGATATCATATCTATTCATTCCCTGTCTATTCGAACCCGCTGCAAGATTTATATAACCTCTTTTTGTTATTGAATGTGAATGGTTTCCTTCCACAGATGTTCTTCCACTGAACCTATGCATATGTGAAGGAAGGTTTTCAATACCTATTTTCTTTGAACCTCCCATCTTCATTGACTGCGTATTAGTGTAGAATGGAAAACTGTCAACTATTTCATACCATCTACCACCAAATAAAGTGTTTGGATTTATTGGATTCATAGACGTATAAACAGCTCCTATAGGATATATTAAATCATATATGCTCATAACTCTATAAACATATTCTAAAGAACTTATGTCATTAAATACCATTTGGAATGTATCTCCCGGATGAAATGTTGCATTTGTTCCACTTTTATAATGTAATGTTAGTTCAATAGAATTATCCAAGAAAAATTCAAAAGTATCTGGTTGAAGACCTCTAACAAATTCAAATGGAGTTGCTGGTTCACCATTTATAATTTCTGTTGTAAATGTCATTGTATCTGGTTTCGAAAATTTCTTTGTTAGTTCTGTATCCACATAAGTTTTGTCGGCTTTACTGTCTAACATTGCTGGTAGTTCATATGCTTCAAAGTTTCTGGCATGACCTTCGATATTCCTGCAACTCTTATCTAAATTGTTAAGAGTATCTTTTACGCTTGTACTCGGATTCTCTAAAGGTGCACTTGAACCCAAATCATAGTTCAATATTATGTCGTCTGCTCTAACAGTAGTGAAGGATTTATGTGTATGATTTTTGTCGGCTTTACTGTCTAAAGAAGTTTGAAGTTCATTTATATCGGAGATATTGTGTTTATGAGATTTCAAAACTTTGTTCGTTGCGTCAAGTTCTGTTTTGTCAGCTTTACTTTTAATAGCATCTTCAAAAGTTATTTTTGACTTAACTCTCAAAGTAAATCTTGGTTCAACTAATACACCGTTAACAAAGAAGTATGAAGCATAAATTTCAGCGTTATAACCAAATGATTGTGGTGCTATACCTGTGTCATACTGTACAGTACAGTGTATGTCATAACCTTTAGCACGAATGAATTTATATCTTCTTTCATTAACATTTTTCGTATTCACTTTTTCACCCTGTGTTAAATATCCATGATAGTCCGTTATAATCTGTTCATCAGAACTTATATAATGAACATGGTTTTTGTCTGCTTTATTGTCTAAAGAAGTTTGAAGTTCATTTATATCGGAGATATTGTGTTTATGAGATTTCAAAACTTTGTTCGTTGCGTCAAGTTCATTTTTGTCCGCTTTACTATTTAATGTAGCTTGAAGTTCATTTATATCGGAGATATTGTGTTTATGTTCTTTATCTGCTTTTTCGGCTAATTTCTCTTCTATCTCATTTATTTCAAGTTCATGCCTACCACCACCTCCCGAAGAAGTATTTTTCTTCAGCTCTTGAAGAACGTCCACTTCGCCATCTTTGGTGTCAATAATGAGACTTTGAGTTAAAACCTTTCCTGTCTTAATGGATGTTTGTAAAACTTCTTCTTCACCGTGTTCGGGGTCATGGTCGTCGTCATATCTTGTGAAATCAGAGATGTTGTCATACATTAAGCATATCTGTCTCAAAAGTTCTGCTATTTGGAATTGGAACGAAAGATATACAGAACTTTCATCATCTCCTAAAGTCAAGTCTGCTTTCTTAAGTATTTCTTGAATGTATGCAATGAGAACAGAGTACCTTGGAAAATATTCGAACAATATTTCATTAGCTGTTGGTTTTGGTGGTTCTTCTGGAGTTTCTGTTGTTTCAGTTCCTTCTGGAGTTTCTGTTGGAGTTTCTGCATCTCTTGACTTCAATGCTCTTGCTCTCAAAGACCTAAATGTTAGAGCACCGGGTTTTACAAAGGACTTTATAAATGCTTTAATAGTTCCTGGTAAGTTATTGTTAGCATTAAGTAAGTTCCTTATGCTTCCATCATGTACGTCCATAGCACTATGTAAAAAATCTATACTTTTCTTGTAGTCAGCAATAGACTGACTGTGATTTTTTAAAGATTTGTCAATACCTTTAAGCCAATCTTCATGCATGTCTGATACTGAGCCAAGAATATCATTTGCTTCCTTTAGTGTATTTTGTGCTTTTCGTAAAGTATCCAATCCCGTACGTGCATTGTTTGCTATACGTCTTACAGTATCTATTTGACTCCTTGTTTCTTGCATCCAACCAGATAAAGTTTTAATAGTATCCGAACCATTTGAAATGAAGTTCAAAGCATTTTTAACATCTAAAGCTTCTTCACCAAGTACTGCCCATATCTTTCCGATTTGGTATTGAAGAACTCCATATGAAGCAGCTGTTAAACCAGTATTTATAAGGTCCCATATCCATGATTTAGCAGTTTTTCCATCCTTTCCATCCTTTCCATCCAAACCGTTTTCGCCTTGAGGTCCTTGTATTCCTTGAGGTCCTTGTATTCCTTGAGGTCCTTGTATTCCTTGTGGTCCGGTGTCACCCTTCTCTCCTTTCAGTTCATCTTTATGTTCGTTATAATATTCTAATGTCATAAGGTGTACATCATTACTGCTACCAGCAACTCCTAATATTTGTTTCTCATTCATGACTAAATTCTTTAGGCATTTAATGTTGTCGTCAAATCGAAAGCTCTTTAACAATTCAATGAGAACATTCAGTACTTTCACTAATGAGGCATCTACTGTAGAATTTATATATTGCACCGTTCCATCATTTATGATAGGAACTTTACTTATTGTAATGAATGGGTCATAAGTGTTAAAAGTATCGAAATCAATGACTTTTTTAGTTTTTCCATCGTCAATGACTAAATCATTGCCTTCAATGGTTAAAGTTGAGTTTTCGTTTACTAGTTCATGTGCTCTTCTTGCTTCATTTGTTTCATACGCATATGCAGCAATAGTCATATTTTAATGAGAATAAAATGTTGTTCTATTTGCAAAGTACTGACCCAAACGAATACGGAACAGTAAAGCTACAAACAAACTTAGGTCTTCAGAATGAAGCGCTTGCTTTCAGAGTTGTTGACTTCAATACTATCGCAACTTTTGTCATAACAGATGAAACAGATTTCATGGAGTTTGAAATAGATGGAAAGAAGCATGAAATAAGATTTCACAATAATGTAGAATATAAGATGGAAACATTAGCTGGAGTGTTAAATGCGCTCATAAATACTACAATAAACAAGGAGAACGAAGAAAACTTAATGAATGTTAAACTTATTGCAGGAGTTTTGAAGTTCAGTTATGCGAAGGAGTTTAAGATAACACGAATGAGTCATAGAGTTCAATTGCTTCTGGGAGCATACCATATGACATTTCCTTTGAAAAGTATTGACAAAACGATTGAGATGAAATCTGTTCCATACGTATGTTATGGCAATTGTTTATACATTGAGTCAAAAATAGCTAATGTCACAGGTATTTCAGGAGTTAATAGTAAAGGTTCAGTAGAATATAAGTCTTTCTGTTATGAAGTAAATTCAATGTTCATTCCAAACGTTCCTGTCATAGCAACTCATTTAGGTAAATGGGTTCGCATTAGTCCTCATAATTTGAAAGACATGCAATTCAGACTAGTTGACTTTCAAGGAGAGCCTGTAGAACTGAAGGCACCAGTGCGAATGACTGTTGAAGTAGACTTTTTAGAAAATATTAAATGCAACAGCTTACAAGAGAACTCAGAGCTAAAAATATAAAGTATGAATGTTATGTATTAGGTCATGAACTTTGGTTGTTGCTGTTTGATGAAACAAATGAGTTAGTTATGTCAGTCAAGAGAACAGAAAAAGGCGTCAAAGGCGCCGAGCGCAAAGCGCTATATTGTGTTAGTGAGAACTGCACCAAGTCAATAAGATTAGGTTTGCATTATGAAGATGAGTTCGATACTGTTGAAGAAGTTTTGGATAGATATTACAAATTGCTAACTTGAAATTTTTTTGACTAACGGCGCAAAGCGCCAAGATGGGCTCAAAGAGCCCTCCTGACTGCTTTAATTTACTAAAACATATTTCAAACATAATTTATATTCTGTTGAAAGTTTTGTATACTCGTTCGAATATTTATACTTAAACTCAACTCCTGGAGTACCTGGTATTTCAATGATGCGGATGTTACCTATTTTCATGAATGGTGGCGTTTGACCACAGCATTCGATTTCAGGGTCGAGATAGTCAATGACACATTGTTTCCCTGTTATTCGTGATATAACATTTTCAAGGTCCTCCTTTGTTAGAATTATTTGGTTCTTGCTTATAAGATTTGTCAAAAGCTTCTTATCGTCTTTGAGTAAGATAGTTTGATATAACTGAAGAAGGTAATGGTCTACGTTATCTGAAGGATTTGTTTGAACATTTGTGTAAGGGTTGTCGTTGGCTTCTCTTGAAAGAATTTGGTCCAGTGGTGGATACTCTAACTTAACATCTGATGTAGCGTTAGCGTTTGAAGCTGAGTTTAAATTCACGGCGCCATGCGCCAAGACCGAGTCCCGACTTAAGTTCTGGTTCTTTTTCTTTCAAACACTCCGAACTATAGTTCTTTATGACAATATTGTTTGTCGTTCGTGAGTCAACATTTGATGTTGGTTCAATTGGAACATTAACGGCACCAGCTAAGATGGATTTGCTTCTCATTTCATATAGAATAAAAACCTTTTATATGTATGAAATGAACAATATACTCGACAAGGGTTTGAATGTAAAGCTAACGAATGAAAATATTGTTGAATTCACTGAGACAGGTGCTGTGTATAAAGATGTAGAACTACTGAACAAAAGAGCTAAGGGAAGAAGCAGGAACATGAACAAAGGGTGGAAGCCTATAAAAATTTATGTCAATGATGGCTCAGGAGGTTCAAACATAAAGTATGCAGAAAGTTATAGAGTTTATGCGCTAAAAGGTGAAAAGCCTTCATTTAAGAACAGCTATTCTAACGCATATCCTCAAAAGTTAACGGATGGGGAAGTGGATGATATGAATGACAGCAAAAATATTAACAGAAATGGCGACAGAGATGCATGGAATTTGTTTACCATCAGTCAATTGAAGGTTAAACTTTAAAACAATGTTGGTCGTTCCCATGGAATATTTTTGACTTTAATGGTATTAGTCATGATATGAATCTCAAGGTATGAACGAGGAGAGATGAGAGACTTATATGCTTCCCAAATTTCTTCAAAAGGTAATGTTATACCTGACTGTTTCCAAATGAGTTCAATATCATAGCGTGAGAAACCTTGAAAGATAACGAAGTCAGTTATGAGACGTTTTATGTTTAAAGCTAAAAACCTCCATGTTTGCATAAGTATTGCTACAGTTAAGTGGTAATGTCTGACTTTAGTAATGATGTTAGCTAATGGTGAGTCAGGCTTTGACACTAAACCTTTTCCGGCGAAGTCGTCGCAAACGAGCAGAGTGTTTGAAGGATACTTTTTGAAGGGGTATTTTGAAAGTTTTGACAGAATGTAGTTTGTAAGTCGTTTCATATCGTAAACTCCTGAGTATTGACGTAAGTGGTGTTTGTCAATAATTCTTTCCATCTCTTCTGAAGTCTTTTGCATTCCTGACTGTATAAATTCAACGATGGCATAATATTTCCTCTTACGTCGAATGTAACGTTGAAGAAATTCAATGAGTTCGCTATCTGGAACTTTAACGACAGAGGCTTGAACTTTTGACATAAATGTTTTCGCTGTTGAGTCCATAGAGTCTGAAGTTGCTGATATAATGATTTGGTCATAATATGAATCTTGACCTAAACGCTCTGTTATGAGTATATGACGAATGAGGTTAAATGTCTTACCTGACCCCATCTTTCCACAATAGAAATAAACACCATTTGAACAGAACTCATAGTCCTTACTGAAAGGAAGAATAAGAGAAGAGTTAAGTTTGTCTGTAGTTTCATTCATGTCTTCATCTACGTCATGTATTAAATGCTTCATTTTATCTCCATTAAAAATGCAAGTCAGAAATATTCAGAACATAGCACCGAGTCTAACTGACAAGAGTATAAAGATATACTATGAACACGTTATGATGAAACCAACCAAAATTCAAGAAAGTCAGTATACTTATGAATATCCAAGACACTGGGTAGAGTATGTAGGAGGTGAGAAAGCTATTGAAATAAGACAAGTTAGAAGTATTCCAGCAGGAAGGACAATATTATTGAAGAACTTTAATGTTTTGAGATATAATGATGAGACAAAGAAGCAAGATAGTTTTCCTATTGCTGTGTATGTGAACCTAGACACAGGAGATGACATGAAAGTTTTTAACACAAAGCTTCAAACGGTAGTGAGAGAACAACTGACTGCGGAAGGACACCCATTACCTTCAGAAGTTACCATAGCGTATAATTTTGAAACAAATGCAATAGATTTTAAAGTCGTCTCTGCAAAGAAGTCAGGTTTTACATTTAATGAAGCAGATGTATATTCGAATGAAAACTTCAAAGCTATTGCATGGTTAGATAATGACGATTGCTTTAAGAAAATATTTAAATTCAGTGACTCAACGATGTCAATAGATGACCTTCGTGGAATGTTACCATCGACGTTTACAGTAGAAGGTTCAGCAGGATTGCTTACAAGATTGTCAATTGGTGGTATTTGGTCTCGTGAGAACATTGTTATAAAATCCAGTATAAGTGAATTTGCTGAAGAATCTATATTATGTCTTTCAAACTATATGTATTCGCCGCCGAAGCATTATAGTATAACAAACTTTGTCAGTAAGTTTAATATAAGACTTGTTGAACCTTCTTCAATGAAAGATGTTGTGCTACCCAAAGACGGAAAGGATGGACTCATTATTGAGATGATTTTAATAGCATATTAAATGAGCTTGTTTTTAAAGGTCATTCATGATGAAATAACTGTTGTAGAAGATGTTAGCAATTGTTCAGACATTTTGAAGCGTATAGATGAGATAAGAAAGAAGTTTATGAATGAGAATGTTTATGTTTCATTGACTTTCTCCAGTAAAGAGAACTTTTATGAGATAATATTGAAGAGAGATGATTTTAATATGGTGTAAATGGTAGCTTGGGCAGCTTTAGGCGCAATGGGAACAAAAGCATTAGCATTTGGAGCAAAAGCACTTGGGGCTTATGACGCAGTAAATAAAATGAGTGGAGGAAGAGTTTCGAAGACATTAGATGCAAATAAAGGAAAGATTGGAGGCTGGGTTGCAAAGAAGTTAAGATTAAATAAAATAGGGCTCATAAATAAAGCATCCAATTTGGTTGCGACTGAGTCAGAAAATGCTTTAGGAAAGGACGATGAGTTTGCAAAACATGCAAAAGACTTTAATGACCAGATGAAAGGTGAAACAATGCATTTAAATAGAGTCGATGGAACTAAAGAAAATGTTTCTTCTCCACCAGTAGTTCTTCCGTATGGTCCCTATGGAATGTATGGAAACCCTTACGAAAGACCATTTGACCCATTGACTGGTGGAAGTAACTGGTATCATTACGGACGAAGAAGAAAGACAGTTAAGCTGGAGACAGACGTGAAGAAAGCAACTAAAAAGAAACCAAGGAAGAGAGTTATAAAGCAATGAATTCAACATGGTTAGAAAAGAGGTTAGAAAACGTGTTAGATCTAACATTCTAACATAAACATTATTTTTGTGCTATGTTTTCATACGTGTGAGGTGGTGATATCATTTATTTTAAGTTTATTTTTTATTTTACTGAAAATTTTTATTTTATTTTTAAGTTTATTTTTATATAAATGACGAAAACTATTGAGATAACAAACTACAACGGTCATGAGTTCAAGAATTTGTTCTTCGTTCCTCGTGAAAATACATTCTATCAGATACGAGGGAGAAAGGGTAAAGTTAGTTTGAGCGTTTATGAAGGAATGAAGAATGGAAAGTTTATACAAGCATACGATACAAACGGTAAACGTGTTTCATTAGCTTTGTCAAAACTTACTAACATTTATTTTGACAGTGACTTTGACTCTGACGATTGGAGCGACAGCAGCGATACTGAAGAATATGAACTATTGTGTGAAGCACAGCAATGGGAAGAGTTGCAATACTTTTGTAAGTGAGAACGTTTATTTTTACAGTAGTAAGGTGAAGTGGTTGGCGGCTTTATAAATATTTAAGGTTAAGTTGGTGTTTGTGTTTGTGTTGTAAAATATACGTTACTGGTTTTGTAAAGTGTCAAAACAGCTAAGTGGTGTATGGAGGCGCGCAGTGCCTCAGTACACGACTTACCCATACTAACTTTTGTTATGCCAATGTACTTCTCTTCATTTATGTTCACAATCCAGTCTGTTGGAAACTTAAACGTTACTCTGTTCCCCTTTATTTTGACGTCAGGGTTTTCACTACTGAACGCAACAGATAAAGGTATTTGTCTATACATTTAGTTCCGATAAAAATAACACATTTACTCTTTCTTTGCTTCAGCTTCTTTAGCTTTTTGTTCTTCCTTTGCTTTTGCTTCTTCTCTAGCTTTCTTCGCCAGCAAACGTGGGTTCTTCTGTCTTCCAGCAGCTAATGCAGCAAGTTGTTTTTCACTAAGTTTTCTCTTTGGTCTCTCTGGCTTTTGTTCTTGTTTTTGTTCCTTCAGTTCGGATAAAATTTGCTCACGAATTTCTTTCTTCAATGCTTCAACATCTATGACCCTTGGGTCTTGTCCGTAGGGCTTGTCTGAGTCATTTGACTGCAGATAAAA